CCCAGATGTCCTTTAATGATGACATAACCAACAGTGGCAGATTTTTGCCGTGAAGAAAGGAAAGAAAAGGAACACAGTACTGATACACTCAACATGTGCAAATCTCAAATGCATTGTGTTAAGTGAAGAAATTTCCAGATTCAAAAGGCTACATACGGTAGGATTCCATTTATATTATGTTCTAGAAAAGGCAAAGCTATAGGAACTGAAAACACATCAGTTGTTGCCAGAGCCAGGAGTGGAGGGAGGAGTTAACTACAAAGAGGCTTCACAAGGGGATTTGGGGGGATTATGGAACCCTTCTATATATTGGTTGGGGTGGTTATACAATAGTATGCACTTGTCAAAACCCATAGAACATACACTAAAAAAGGTGAATTTTATCCCAATAAAGCTAACTTCAAAGAAACTAAAGGACACACTATGAGAGGAAACATAACAAAACTAAAGAGTGGAAGCTCACACCCATTAGGATGACTGCTATCAAAAAAGAAAATAAGGGGGCTGGCCTGGTGGCATAGCGGCTAAGTTCGCACACTTTGCTTCAACAGCCTAGGGTTCATGGGTTTGGATCCCGGGCACAGACCTACACACCACTCATCAAGCCATGCTGTGGTGGCGTCCCACATACAAAATGGAGGAAGACTGGCACAGATGTTAACTCAGGGCTGATCTTCCTCACCAAAAAAGAAAAGAAAAGAACGAGTGTTAGTGAGGATGGAGAACCCTTGTACACTGTTGATAGGAACGTAAAATGGTGCAGCCACTGTGGAAAACAGTATGGTGGTTCCTCAAAAAATTAAAAGTAGAATTACCATATGGTCCAGCAATTCTACTTGTGCGTATATATCCCAAAGAATTTAAGGCAGGGTCTTAAAGAGATATTTGTACACCCCATGTTCATAGGAGCATTATTCACAATAGCCAAAAAGGTGGAAGCAACCCAAGTGTCCACTGATGGATGAATGGATAAAAAATACATAGTATATACATACAATACAATATTATTCAGCCTTAAAAAGGAAGAAAATTCTGACACGTGCTCTAACATGGATGAACCTTGAGGACATTATGCTAAGTGAAATAAGCCAGTCACAAAAGACGAATATTGTGCGATTCCACTTACAGGAGGTACCTAGAATAGTCAAATTCATAGAAACAGAAAGTAGAAGGGTGGTTGCCAGGGGCTGGGGGAGGGGAAACGGGGACTTGTTGTTTAACGAGTATAGAGTTTCAGTTTTGCAAGATGAAAAGAGTTTTGGAGATGGAGGTGGTGATGGTTGCACAACAAGGTGAATGTACTTAACACTACTGAGCCGTACACAAAAATGGTTAAGATGCTAAATTTTATGTTATGTGTATTTTACCACATCTAAGAAAAAAAAGTGGTGGTTTCTCACTTAAGAGGTTTGGATTTAGTCCATAAGGCTTACCAGCTGTGTGTCACTGGGTAAGTCTCTACCCCACAAGTGGTTTTTCCAGTGTAAATGGAATATGAAAAATTGCTTTGGGAGCTATTGCTGGGGTACAAAATCGGGTCCTGGAGAACCCCCGGGCCCCCGGGGATGAACTACCTAGGTAGGCGCAGCTTCCAAAGGAAGGGAAGCAAGTGAGGGATGAAAAATCTGGACAGAACAGGATGGCAGAGGCAGCAGGGCCAGGCTCTCAGCGCCGAATCCAGCCGCCCTGCGTCAGTTGCCAGAGCCCTTCAGGGCCCCCTGGACCCTCAAGACAAACTCCTATCTCCTCAGCCTGGTGATCAAGCCCTGAGGGGTCTGTGTCCTGCTCACTTCTCCAGTTTCAGCCACTGCCACTCTCAGCCCATATTTTCTACACAGAAACATACAATAATTCCCTCCTACACCTGTGCTTTTAAAATTCCCTCTTTCAAGAATGCCCTGCCCACCTCACACCCATTTGCCTAGCCAGCTCCTACTCCTCCTTGTTTCCTCATCACCCTCTCTGTGAAGACTTCCCTCAACTCCTCAGGCTACTCCTCTGGGTTCCAACAGCCCCCAAGGTTACCTTTATCCTAGATAATGCTATTTATTTCACTTTTTAAAAAAATACTTATTGGGCATCTGTTATCTGCCAGACACTATTCTAGGCTCTGGGGTTTATCAGTGAATAGAACAGAGAAAACTCCCTGCCTGCAGGAGCCATACTCTTAGGGGTACTGGCAGACCCTGGGCCTGTGACCTTCTTGTGGGGAGGCATGCTCTGCCTATAATGTTGTTGTCCTCAGTGCCTCGCACACAGTGGGTCCCCAGCTCTTGGGGCTGAGTGGCAGATGTGGATGACTCTGATGCAGCCTGCCAGGCAGAGCCCAGAAGAGTCCAGCTGCTAAGAGCTGAAATTGTGCTGGCATGGAGAGGGCTGCCTGAGCAGGCAGAGGAGCCAAGGAGCACTGGGGTAGACAGGAGGGAGGGGGGGAGAGTGTCCTTTGTGTCTTCCCTCCCGAGTCACCTCCTCGGGTTCTTCCCTGGGCCTGGCATGTTTAACCACCCCCTCATCTTCATCCTAATAAGACAGTTACATGTGAGAAGCTGTCGCACAGTCTAGGCTCGGTGGATCCCTGCTGGCAGGGCTAAGCACTCGCTCTGCACGCACACGTCTCCACCCTAGAAGCAGTGTGGTACGGAGCCGTTCCCACGTTTGGTTGGGTATCAGATTGGCTGACTGAATGGGGTGGTGCCTGAGATGCTGTTTTTCACAATCTTCAGATTATTCTGATGCAGCCAGCCGGGCAGATTATTCAGAGCAGCCCGAGTCATTAAAGCCTGCCATGATTCGTCCTAACCCTTTACCATAACTCCCTCTCTGCCCTCATCTCCTGCCACCACCAATCTCCCTTCCCTCACCTGGCTTGAGCCTCTGCTCCAGTCTCGCCCTGTTGGTGAATCTTCCCCATTCCCCCCTTTCTATGTAGCAAACTTTGCCCCTTCGCTCTCCCTCTCCCCTCTGCCCTGTTTACCTTTCAGTAACATAAACACACATTTCCAGCTGACGTACGGTGGTGTGCTGGAACTGACTCATAAGGCTTGCAAAAGCCTATTACATTTTTAGGAACTCTGCTGGCTGGTTGTTAAGCATAGCCATCATTAAAAGTCAAATTACACAAACTTAATTAAATTAATGATATTAAAAACAAAGGCGAAAATGCTCAAACTCATCACTTTCTCATTTTTTACTACCTTCTACTATTATCTATGTTCTTCAGAGTCTTTACATCTGTAGAAATATAGTAGAAATATATAGTAGATAATGGTATGATCCTGTGCATTACTGTTCGACTCTGCGTTCATTGGTAGCTTGAAATAATCTGTGGTAGGAGTACTCACACCACAGAATTAGGTAAATGTGATAAATCAGGTTTGGATTTTGTTGACTATATAGACGAGGGGTGGTGATGGGTCAAATCTGGCCCGTGAAGTATTTTTGTGAGTAAAGTCTTATTGCGACATATCCATGCCCACTCATTCACATACCATCTATGGCTGCTTTCACACTACAAGAGCAGAGTTGAGCAATTGCAACCCTATGGCCTGCATAGCCTAACATATTTACCATCTCACCCTTTACAGAAGAAATTTGCTGACTCCTGCTCTAGCCCTAAGAAAGTAATGGAGGAGATGTTAATAATGAAGATTAAATGTAAACATGTGTCCCATCTACAGCTGTTATGTTGTACATAGCAACGCACACCAAAAAAAATAATAATAAAATTGAGAAAATATACTTCCTGTATTTGAAAAGTGTGATCCAATACAGCAAATAAGTCCATCATGTCATCGACAAATGAATGGAATTCCACTACCTTTGTTCTTTCACTTTTTCACTTTCTTCTTACTCTTTAGTGTAAATGAAAATATCAACATCCATGTTGGAACTACACTTATTCATCAATTTACAACTACAGGTGGGTTATGGATACAAGAGTTAGGCAAAATTCCAGAAAAGTATACTGTGAGAATTAACTGGGTTTCTGGAATTTACAATAAAAATTAGATTAGATTTAGATTTAGATTTTGATTTCTATCAGTAAAATTTATCATAAACACACACTTCGTTTCAGAGAGCCAATTATTAAACATTTACAAGCGCACACACACTGTTTTCTTCCCCCTCCACTAGAATGTAAATTTCTTGAAGTTAAGAAATTTCTTTTATTCCAGCACTTAGAGCAGCTCCTGAATGTAGCCAGTGCACAGTCAACAGAGGTGACCAGGATGAACAGATGAGCGGTGACCAGGTGACCAGGGAACCCCTGGTTTCATGGGTAGACTGTCAGACCTTAGGTTTCCAGCTCCACCATTATCTACCTATGTGGCCTTGAGTAAATTAACCTCTTTGAACCTTGGCTTCTTCATTAAAAAAGAGAGAATAACCATCTTCCCTCGCAGGGAGGTGGTGACAATATATGCCTTTGCCTGGCACCTACTAGGTTTCTTCACAGGTGGGAGTTTCCTCCTCACCGCCCTCCCCTGCCACACACACATTCCTTAGAGACCCAGCCCTGCTGCTGTAACACATTTCAGTGATGTCACAGCTCCCCTCCCTGGGAGTTCCAGCACAAGCATCCTGATGCCCAGCCTGAGTGCTGGCTGAACTGAGAGGGGCAGGGCGCAGGCAGTGCCTGGTACCAGTCTTGCTCCTTCTGTCTTTGAGGCCTCACAGCCCCAACATGAGTCCATCAGCAAAGAAGAGGCCCAAGAATAGAGTGCTTTCCAAGGTTGGACTTGGGACTGGACCTGGGGGGCCCTTAACAAAGAGTCCAACCACATCCAGGGCGGGGGCCTTCTAGCAGGGGGGAAAGGGAGAGGTGAAGGGTGAGGGAGGTCAGGAGAGTTAGAATGGTCTCCCCATTTCTGCCCCCAAACCCAGGTGACAAAAATCCCAGTCTAGTGTTGCTCAAACCATGCTCAGCCAAATGGAAAGGCACAATGGAGGTGTTCAGGGGGATTCCTCCTGTGTTCGTGCTCTGTCTTTCTGTCTCTCAGATGCAAGATAAGGAATCACAGGACAAGAGTCAGCAGCCTGTCAGCAGAGTAGTTGAGCAGAACCGACTTAAAATGGTGAGATGCCCCATTTTGGTCCCTGTGTAGGAGAGCCTGAGCTCCCATGTAGTGCTGTTCCTGACTGCCAGGCTGAGTGACCCGGAAGGAGTCACCAGGCCAAGCCCTGAGCTGAGTTGAACCAAAGTTTGGGTCGGGTGTGGGAGGCTATCCCAGGAAAGCTGAAGCTTCTGTTTTTCTGACCTTTGCAGTTGTTAAAAAACTTGTCGCTCTTGAGGCTATTCAACAGCTCGAACCCCCGGACCCGCGAACTGTATAACCTGGCCAAAAGGTGTTGGAATTCACTGCTCAGAGTTCCAAAGATCCTCAGGATCTCCTCCGGGTGAGCTCGGCCCACCCATGGCCCCCCAGCGTGGACCCACTAGCTATCTTTACTAGGAACAGGCACTGTGCTAAGGTATTTAGAAAACCTAATTTTCACAAAGGTTCTATGAGAAAGGTATTTATTGGCCCTGTTTTACTGATGGGGAGCTGAGGCTCAAGAGATAAAGTGATTTGCCCCAGTGAACTGAACTGATGAGTGGCAAAGCTAGGATTTGAAGCCTTCCTGCCTGATATCAGAGCTGTGGTCATAACCAGAGTCATAATCATCCAATTATGGGACTAACCACCACCTGGGCCACTGAGCAAGAGGGGCCACTCCTCCTTCTCCCCCTCTCAAATCAACACAACCCAGAGATTCACCTGCAGACCAGTCATCTTGCTGAGGCTCAGTTTCCTCATAAGTCACAGCAGAATATTAAGAAAGCTAACATTTATAAAGCAGCTGCTGGGGCCAGCCCGGTGACATAGTGGTTAAGTTCATGTGCTCTGCTTTGGTGGCCCGGGGTTTACCAGTTCGGATCCCAGGCGTGGACCTAGCACCACTTGTCAAGCCATGCTGTGGCAGGCGTCCCACATATAAAACAGAGGAAGATGGGCACAGATGTTAGCTCAGGGCCAATCTTCCTCAAAAAAAAAAAATAATAATAATAAAGCACCTGCTAAGTGCCAGGTACTATGCTAAGTACTTTACAAGCATTTTCCCATTTAGTTTATTCTTCACAACAATCCTATTAGGCAGACAGAATTATCCCAGTTTGACAGATGAGGAAACTAGGCTCTGAGAGGTTAAATTTCTTGTCCCCAATCACACAGATGGTAAGAGGCAGAAGGGAATCTGAACCCCAGTTTGTCTGTCTCGAAAGCCTGTATTCTCCAAGCCGCCCTGCCGCAGCACTGCCTCCTACTTTGCAGGACTGTTGTGAGGGTTCTGAGCCTGACACAGGGTGGGCACTCAATCAGTGGTGGCCATTATTATCGTCAGTATTGTCATTATCTTGAGCTTGAGGCCTCATCCCTCTCCACACACACTCAGCTAGGACAGTGCTGCCACTTTGCAGGGGACCAATCTATTACCGGCACCTTTGGGGAAAGTCTCCTTCCAGCATCAGTACGTCTGGTCAACTCTAGCTCTCTGCACTCCTCTCTCTGAGTTGGCCTCCCTGATGCAGGCAGTCGGGAAGCCCTGAGCCAGAAGGGTCAGGCTCATCTAGTCCCATAGTTTTCCATCCTTTTAAAGCAGCAAACCTCTCTTCAAAGATCTGTCCTGAAGCCCCAGTTGTGTTGTGTGTGGGAGGAGGAGTTATCCTGCCCTGACCCTGCCCCTTGCGGGGGGTGGGGGGGGGCCGCATTTGAGATGACTCCTCAGAACCCTAAGGTTTCTTGGAACACAAGTTGAAACAAAACACTGGACTAGTTCACCCCCTCAACTGAAATCCAGAGGCAGAACCCGAACCTAGTGGCTGATGCATACGATATATATTCCTGGGTGTTCTAACTATCAGTCATTGCCTTTCACCTTCCCCAGCCTCTCACATCCCTTCTGCCAGTACTTGTCACACCCCCTGCCCTGGGAACAAGGCCTCTGGGTGGTCGAGGATTTTCTTTTCAGGCCCTCTATTGCTTTCTTGACAGGCTCCCCTCAGCCGGCTACATAGCACCTGTCTCAGGGCTAGGCTAGAGGACCAGGGCCTTAGTCCTGCTCTGCTCACTGCCATTCTTCTCCCTGTCAGGAACAACGATGCCTGCAATAAAGTGGAAGAGCACAATGAAGAGCTCCAGGAGGCTAGGAGCTCCAAGGAGACACTGGAGTCCAAGAAATTCGAGTCCATAGAGGAGCCTAAGGAGGTGGAGCCCAAGGTGGGGGTGGGGGAGACGAACAAGGCCCAGCAGTCACCTGCAGCAGGGCCACAGAAAGAAGAGCAGGCGGAGCCTGAGGTCCCAAAGACATCGAGGGATCCCGGAGCCCAGGGGAAGCAACCCCCCACTGGGGGCTCCCGCGTCTTCCTCCTGAAGACCCTCCAGCACAGAATTCCCAAGGAGGACACGAAGCAGCTGGAAGCTGCTGACCAGTGGGTCTGGTTCGAGGGGCTGCCCAAACGAGTCCGCCTCCCAGGGCCCCGGGCGATGTGCAGACCATCCGCCCTGCGCTGGGTCAAGCGCTGCTGCACCCGTTTCTGCTCTGCGTCACTTGAGCTGCCTATGTGCCGTTCATACAGGGTGTGACAACGCCACTGCCAGGCCAGGGTGAGATGCAGGCCCCAAGCCAGGCCTAGAGCTGGGCCCCAGAATCAGAGGGCTTAGGATCCAGAGTCTTGTGGGCTGTGGCTGGCAGTACTGGGAGGCCCTACCTTCAGGCCCAGAGAGGAAAGCCCAGAGAGGGGGAAGCCATTGACCAAGGCCACACAGCAGGGTAGTGGCTGGGCGTGGGCCTCCCAAGATCCAACTAGGGACTCTGGGGAAGGAGAGGCACTAGGAGTGTGGGTTCTGAGTGGGGGTCATTGCATTGCCTGGAGGCCTCAGGAGGGGCCACAACTGCTATAGCTCAGAATCTCACAGAAGTCTGAGTAAGGAAGTTTCAGGATTTCTAAATGTGAGAGGAGGGGGAGTGGTCAAGCAGAGCTCTGCCACATCCCATCCCCTCAGACCAAATCATCTCTCCATTTGCTTTGTTCATGCTTCAAATAAGATTCACCCTGAACAAAAAGTTCCTTAGCGGGAAAAAAAAAAAGGACGAAAATACTCCAACCCCTCCATGAGAGCACTGAGGTCCCAGGAAAGGAAGGGAGTGATGGGTTTGGGGGTCCAGCTGAAAGACACGCTTCCCTTCGCAAAACCCACATCTCCAGCCTGCCAGACACAGCAGCGCCCGGTCCCTGAGCCCTCTCCATGGACGGCAGCGCCCCCTGGGGGCGATCTTCGCGCCTAACTAACGCCGAGGTCTCTGCCCGCAGGTGGTGCGACCTTGGAGGGGGAGCCACAGATGTGAGGAGAGGGAGGAGACCGCTCAATCATCCGAAAGGGAGGGTTGGGAGGGAAAATTTTGAAGAAGTCTACAAATAAAATCTCCCATATGGCACTGAAGAATACTACCGCTGGCTCTGCCTGTGTGTCTGGGGCAGGAAAGGATGGAGGAACGAGGCCCTCAGCGGAGGTGGGGAGGGAGAATGTGCATCACGACTTCAGCCTTCTTCCACCTCATCCCCAGGCCCCTAAGGTCAGTCCAGAACCCAGAATAAGGAAGCCAGCGACCGGTACCCCTCCCCCACCTCCGCGAGCTGGCCTCTGGAGTGGTGCACTTTATGAAGTCACGGTGGTGGGGGGGGAGGGGGCATTTGTCGGGTGCTTCCTGGTGCCAGGTGCCTCACAATAGCCCTGCTAGCCAAGAAGACGAGGAAACCGCGGCGCCGAACCGGCAAGTGACCTGCCCAGGCTCACACAGCTAGGAAGTGGCGCAGCAAGAACTCCTGATATAGGTCTCCTGGCTGCTCCCCGTTCCAGTTTCCGAAGGAAAGAAAAAGACGCAACGGGGCATCGGGTCCGTCATGCACCGGCATTGCGACCTGATTAGCGCAGGGCCAGGTGTCAGTAAACGGATGTCCGCTGGGCCTCGAAATGTACCCCACCTGGGTCAGGAAAGCACCGAGTCAGGCGGAGAGTTGGTACTGCGTCCCTACTGCTCCCGTGTGACATGACACGTGCCACCCTCCAACCCTAAGCCCTGGTCAACCCCAACCGGTCGGGGTCACTCTCAGTCCGTAGGAGCCATAGGACCCCAAACATGCAGTTGAGAAAGGAAAACCCGGGGAGCGCGGGCGTTCTCCGGACGAAGACTATAATCCTCCGTATTCCCCAGGAGCGGGCTGCGCGGAGTCGGCGCCCTCGGGAACGCAGCGGAGCCTTCGAGGGCGCAGAGCCCCCAGCCCCGCCCCCGGACGGAGCTAGGGCAGCGATGGAGATCGCCAGATTGGGAGAGAGGGATTGGAGGGGCTGCCTTTGAACCCGCCCGCTCGCACCCCTCCTCCCCACTGGCGCTCAGCACCGTGACTGGGCATCCGGGGCACTGGCGCCGGCAGAAAACGGAACGCGTTTCCTCCGGGGCGGCGCGGACGGGTGAGCGGGGCCCCGGCGTGGGACTGCTCTGCGCGGCCCTGCTCAGCGTCGGTGAGGCTGCCGGGCCTCCGCGGCGCGCCCCCCTGCTCCCCCGCCGGCCGGCGTCCTGGCGCTGCGCCCCCAGCCCTACTCGGCATCCCTCCGCCCCCGCCACGTCCCGCGCAACCTCCAACCCAGTGCCCTCCGCTTCAAGCTGTCTTCCAGTTCAGCTTGCACCCCAGCCCATGTCCTGAGCAGTTTCCATTTCAGTTCCCTTGCTGAACGTCATCCGTCTCATAACCTTCAGTAACCTCTACTCGGTCTTTCGTCTCAGACGCCTTCCATTCCATCAACGCGCGCGTGAACTCCTGGCCTGCACACTATCAGTGGCGGTTAGAACAGCGCGCTCCCAAGCCAAATCCCAAACCCTGTCGGGGGCCCCGCCCCACTAGTCTTCGTGGGAGCTGCCCAGGGAGCCCCAAATGGGGGCTGGAAAGGCGTGGGCCTGGGGGAGACTGGCAACTTCCCGCTGTGCCCCATAGGGAGCCAGAGCCCGCCAGGCTGCCCGCTGGTAATGCCATCAAGGAGCCGTGTGCCTGTGTGCCTAGGCTGGGACCCAGCATAGCCAGGGCGCCCGTGCACTCCTTCCAGCTTTATTCCCACCGGCACTGGCACTTGGGCCTTGAGCAACCTGCCTCCCACAATCGCAAGATTGGGGTCTCCCTGCTACCACACTCCGTTTGTTTAACCACCTCAATCTGAGGCTCCCTCTTGTGGGCTCAGTTAGATCCTGATTTGGGGGGGAGGCTGAGCGGATCTCACGGATCAGAAACCACCCTGGAAATGGCTCCCTAACAGTCAGCTGGGGGAAAAATTAACTTTAAAGGATTTGAATGAGTGACTTTTAACAAGTCACGTGACCTCTCTGAGACTATTTCATCTGTTTATAAAGCAGGGATACTAATATCCATTCCAGAGGGCTTTGAGTAAACCAGGTTTGATGTAGGTGAAGCCAGTTTGTGGGGTGCTGAACAAATGTTTGGCCTTTTTCCATGCCCGTTCCCTGGCCCTGCACCATAAGAAAGCCCCAGGCCAGTACTGGCCCTGTTTCTCAATTATGAGCAGCTGCCTAATTACCTACCTTTAAAGAACTAGTTGCTTGTTAAAAAGCCAGTCTTATGTTCATGTTCACAACCTTTTGCTAAAATGGCATCCAAGAGAGAGACAGACTGGTCTCTCCCCCATCTGGATCTTGTCCCTCAAACATGACTGGAACATGGAAAACGGATGAGGCTTTCGGGGCAGACAGGCCTAGCTTCCTATCAGCTGTGTGATGTTAGGGAAAGCTGTTTGCTCCTAATCCTCAGTTTGTCTGCAAAATGGAGGAAATAATGGTGCCCACCTCAGTGGATCAAGTAAGAATATACATACATTACTTTGCAGCACACGGCACATAGGAACTCAAAACTTGGTGGCTGTACCGAGATCACGGGCAATCATGTCCCCCATCTAACAGTTGAAAACACTGAGGCTCAGAAGAAAGGTGTCTCCTCTGTAAAACGGGGGGTGGGGGGGAGATTGGTCGCCCAATAACTACAACTGCTTGAGCCAGCCCGGATGGCCTAGTGGTTAGAGTTCGCTGTGCTCTGCTTCAGTGGCCTGGGTTTGGTTCCCAGGTGAGGAACTATCCCACTTGTCCGTCAGTAGCCATGCTGTGGCAGCAGCTCACAAAGAAGAACTAGAAGGACCTACAACAAGCATATACAACTATGTACTGGGGCTTTGGGGAGGGAAAAAGAAACTTAAAAAAAATAAATACATAACTACAACTGCTTAGATTTACGGGTCACTTCCTGTGTGCCAGGCACAGTGCTAGGTGCTTTACACGTGACATCTCACCGAATCCTCACAACCACCCAGGGAAGAACTACCATCCTCATTTCACAAACGAGGACACCAAGGTAGGAGAGGTTAAGTATCTTATCCAAAGTCTCACAGCTGGTAGCGGGACTGCAGGACCTCACCCTACGCTCTGCTGCAGCTCTCCAAAGCCTTCTAGCATCGGACCCCTAGGATCCCCAGTGACCGGCCCAGGGAGTGGAAGAACAGGAACTAAAACTCTCGGCTCCCTCTACCCACTCTTCTCTCAATACTGTTTTTGCCCCCCTTTGCTACTTTCCTACAGAAACCCTCAAGCAAGACGGTGGCTTTTAATTCCCTCTCCACAGAGGGCCTCTCTTGGGACCTTCATCCACTCCTACAACCCCTGCCTCTGAGGCTCTGTGGTCCCTGGGCTACAGATACAGGGAGGAGTTCCACACCTGCGCACTGACTGCCCTCTGGGACTGCCAAGAGGAAGCTCTCCTGATCTGAGAGTTTTTGAGGAAAAAGCCTACGAAATTCTGCTTCCAGGGGAGCCTGTTTGAGCCGTGTACACCCCAGGACTCAGGGGGACCTGGAGCTTCCCACTCTGCCCCCTGGTGTCTGCTGGCTGCCATCCTGGACCCCGTTTGGCTCTGATCTGGACAGGGCTGCCTAGAACTAGGGGTTAGAGGCACCCTGTGAGCTAGACATCCCTTTCTCCTTTCCTGTCCTCCGTCCAGGTTACAGACTATCCTGAGCCCCAGCTGTGCAATAGTCTCCACTTCTCCTCCTATTGGTCCAATTTCAGGCAGTGGGTGGGATGAAGGAAGGTCTAGGCTTCAGACTCATAGAAAGTCAAGAGACACACCAACTCAGTGGTAGGATGGAGGTAACTTTCTGATCTAGGTACTGTCCTTTATGCTTTGGAAATAAAAACATTCCTTACATTCCTATGTTCACTTGGAAATCTGTGGCCCTATTTAATGTACCATGTATCAGTTTTTCTGAGAAAGCCAGTAACGTTTATAAAGCACCATACATCCTTAGTATTTAAAACAATACAATAGGATGAGAACGTATAGAGCGCAGATTGTTTAACCAATAAGAACTCAGACATCCTTAACTATTAATGTCTTCTGAATGAGTTTGTTAATGTCATGACTGGAGCCCAAATCCTGGCTCTGCCAGCTCCTAACATGGAACCTTGGGCAAGTTTCTTAGTTTCCGCATCTGTGAAATACAGCTGATATTCCCTACTTCAGAGGGTGGTTGTGAAGATGAAGTGAGGAAGTGGACATAAAGCATTTGGCCCACTGCTGGACATCTATTTATTAAGCAGTCAGTAGATGTTATTACTAAAATGACAAACATGTCACTGCTATCGCCCAGTTCTCTCTGGAACTTGCCTCTAGACACTGCTTTTATTGTTACTTTAGAAATCATAAAAAATCTCATTAAGATAATTTTTTCTAGCTCCAACTGTCATTCAGCTCAGTCACTATATTACTGAAAAAAAAATTTGGCTTCCCTGACTTTTGGCAGTTTCCTGAAAATCAAATTAACACTCGAGGGGCAGAGATTTGTCATCAGAGAAGACAGGCACAACAGGCACGAGCCCTTGAAGGAAACTCCCAAGGAGATGTGCCAACCAGCTGGAGCAGCCACCACCGCAGCTGACCAGGGGAGACGGCAGCCACATGATGCGAGTCCTCTGATGCCTTTCTCAAAATTAGTCACATGTCTTCAGGGTTTGTGGTGTCTGGGGGAAATCCACACACCCAGGAGGAGCCATCTCAGCTGGTCTTACCTCCTGGACTTGGCAGCCAGGATTAGTCCCATTAACAAGCTGCTTCCTTCCAGTTTGGCCAGAGCACCCCGAGTTACTGAGGTGTCTCACCCAGCACTTTCCCAGTCTCTGCCCAGGCATGTTCCCTCTTAAACCTTCATCCTGTCAGCCTCAACTCCCTACTCTGCAGGGCTGGGAGCCAGGAAGCTAGAAAGGCTTCATGAGGAGAGAGCAAAACTCCCCGTCTGTGTGTCCCTAACATTGACAGCTGAAAACTGACAGCTCTCTTGGGCAGGATCCAAAGAGGAATACCATGGTTTCCATGCAGAAGTGGGTCTAGACCAGTGTGTTCCACCAGGCACGTTCAGAAGTCACCAGCAAATGGGGAAGGAATCCTGAGAGTCGTGGTGGTTCACCAAGATGTCAAACAGGAGGCTGTAGGTGGAGGGGGTGGGAGTCTCCTGTAACTTTGCATTTTAACCAAATGGAGGAATAACCTGGGGTTCAGGAAAGGAGACAGTGGCCTAGCAATTCTTGATAGCTCCCTTGCCTAGCTGCTCTGATCTCTCACAGTTCCAACCATGGCATTACAAAGCAAGTCGAGGCAGAATCATGGAAAATACTGTATTTATATACATAGGAAGGACAGCTGCAAGCCCCTCACAGAGGACACTCCACCCCAAAGAAAAATCTTAGCAGCAAATTCCTATCTCCCTTGACACTACCAGAGCAGGTTGAGCTGGAAGGCTGGGCTTCCTGTCTCTGGGCACCCATCATACCCTTCCTGTTACAGAATTCCAAATAAGGCAGGAAAAAGGAACTACTGCCAGAACCGAGGTCCAGTGGGAGCTGGGGTGTCTGATCATTCCTAGAGAATGGGCAGTGACTCTATCATGAGGGTCAGGGTGGGGGCGATGCTGAGACTCCTCTCGGGGTCCTAAGGCTGGCCTTGTTGAAAGCTGGCAACAGGGTGGGAACTCAGTAGAGAACTGGAAGAAAGTCGGTCATGGGTTCATGGGTGCACGTGCACAGGCATGTAGCGGGCCACAGGTTGTGCATTTTCCTTGTGCTTGATGCCTCCATCTGCCATCCTCTCCCTGACAGCAGCTGAATATTTTGTACCTACAGTTCTTTCTGTGGCTATGGATCCAGAAACCAAGTGTTTCTCCAAACAGAATAGCTGCGGTTCAGCAACACGGCAAAGGGAGCAGCTGTCCCAGGGAGGTAAGACAGATGACTAGAAGAGTGGTTTGCTCCAATCAGATATCCTTGATTTTTTTCTTTTTTAAAATAACAGGCTGGTGATACATATGGTGGCTCAAGAGTGACATGGTTCCAATTCTGTTATTACCCTGAAAGAGGTCCCCTTGCTGACCTCCCAGATACCAAGGCTTCAGCAGTCAGAGGCCATTCTTGCAGCTGTGACCCTGACTGCTACCTGCCTTCTTGACGGGGCCTCACTATCTCTCCCACACCAACGGAGACTTCACATTTCCAGGGTTCCTCTCAGCCTGGGCTGGACCTCATCTGGAGGGTCTAAGCAGCCCAAGGTGTTGGGGGTGGCCAAGTGCCCAGCAGGGTGTCCAAAGGACCCAATTCTAGACATTGGATTTAGGGGCTGAGTTGAGGGGGATTTCCTTGAGCTCCGTCCGCATGCACAGGTACTCCCCGATGACAGCCATGAGTGCAATGCACACGATTTGGACCAGCCACCAGGTCAGCGCCGAGGGGAAACGGGAGCTGTAGAACCAGCAGCCCAGGAGGTGAAAGAAATGGACAGTGACAGTGAAATCCAGACACTGCTTCCCTCGTCGGATGAAGTACAGCAAGCCCAGGGCACTGTGGGGAGAGGACAGCAGTGAGTTGTCACTGGGTTGTCCTGGCCTTAGGTTATTTCGGGGAATGGGGACAAGCAGGATGACAGCATAGTGGTCAGAAGCAAGCGAGATAAGTGTGAAGCAAGAATTCCATTATTAGATGCCTAGAAGAACCTGACAGGTAATGTTGAGAGTGAATCAGCCTGGGGAGAAGAAAAACAGACTATGAGCTTGATAAATGGCAACCGTCACTCAGGGGGACCCTAGGGATCAGGGGGGATTGTGGCGCCCTGAAGCACACATGTTCCATCTACAGAGGGGACAACAGTTACTTGCAGCTGGGCAAATCATCAGGCTAGAAGGTTGGCCTGGAATCAATCATCTTCCCATTTTTCACGAGAAACCAGAAATCTGGATTTTTTATATAAAATACCCTGATTTTCAACTAAGTGAGAAAATTTTTTGAACACCATGCATGGGCTGACCACTATGTAAGCCAAAGAGAATGTATCTGGGACACAAATTTAGGTCAAAGTCAGTCCACCAGTTTTCAGCCTCCAGTGTAAGGTCAAGAACAGTAACATGCAAGGCACTGCTCTAAGGACTTCCTGTGAATTAGCTCATTTAATCCTTACAACCATGAAATGGATAATATTATCATCTCACTTTACTCACGAGGAAACTGGGGCTTAGACAGATTAACTTGTCCACGGTCACGACTAGTGGTAAAGCTGAGATTCAAAGCCAAGTGAGTCTGCCTCCGGAGCCTGAGCTCTTACTCACTATGCTACACTGCCTCTTAAGAGACAGGCAACGGTCATGAGATCTTAGAGGGTACCGAGTGAAACCCTGTGTACAGATGAGGAGCCTGAGGCCCAGAGAGGGGGAAAGTAACCTGGCCAATGGCACAGGGACCAAGAATAGAACCCAGTTCTCCTGACTTTCAGTCCAACCGTTTCCTCACCTCGTCCCACATCAAGGAGGTGATCTGAGATGGAAGCTGTCCCACACGCAGCATGCACAGAGTGACATCAGAGCTTTCCAGCTAAGTCAAAACCACAATGGAAGGAGCTCTATGATGGAGCCAGTCCCAGAACTGGCCTCTGCCGCCCACTTTAGTCCACCACTCCCCAGGAACAAGTGCCACCCTGTCTCATGTCCAAATGTAGGAAGTTACTGTCAGTGCTAAGACCCCAAAAGCTGGATGGCAAAACTGGTGATACTCACCAGGTGAGGGCGTTGAGGATGAAGGACATCATGGAGAGCCGGCCTGGAGGGGTGGAGAAGCCCAGGATCTGAGGAGGAATCACAAATAGAAATAAGCTGGAGAGGTGACTTGGCAGAGCCTCCTAAGGAACAAGCATTCTTCCCAGAGCACAGAAGACAATAGCCCCCTTCATCTGTATGGCAGCCCATTTCCAGCAAGGTGCTTTCACAGACATCCATTACGGTATCTCATCGGACCCACTGCAGCAGCTAGGAAGGGATTATTATCCTCATTTTACAAAGGAGGAATGAAAACTCAGAGAAGTTAAGTAACTTGCCCAAAGTGATACAGTAAGTAAAGAGCAAGAGTAAGGTCCAGAACAGAGTTCAGCAAATTATGGCCCCAGGGGCCAGGCACCTATTTTTGTAAAAAAAAGTTTTATTGAAATACAGCCACACCTATTTGCTAGTATTGTCTACGGCTAGTACAGTGGCAAAGTTGAGTAGTTGTGACCTAAAATCTTTACTATCTCATCTTTTAAGAGACGTTTGCCAGGGGGCCGGCCCCATGGCCAAGTGGTTAAGTTCACAAGTTCCGCTTCGGTGGCCCAGGGTTTCACCCATTTGGATCCTGGGCACGGACCTAGCATTGCTTGTCAAGCCATGCTGAGGTGGTGTCCCATATACCAGAACTGAAAGGACCTACGACTAGAATATACAACTAGGTACTGGGGGAATTGGGGAGAAGAAGAAGAAAAAAAAAGATTGGCAACTGACAACAGATGTTAGCTCAGGCCCATTCTTAAAAAAAAAACAAGAAAGAAAAGATTGCCAGCCCCTGGTCTAGAATTCACGTTGTGTGCATGAGGTCGCTCTTCAACAAAGCCCAGGATTCCTCCACGCCCTTCCCAAGAGGACGGAGGCTCCTAAGAGGCTACCACTAGGCACCTGGTGGGTGTGCAACCTCCAATACTCTTGATACACTACTGTATACCAAACACCTGCACAACTTTCAGTTCACAAAAGCCTCTGACATCCATAGTCTCATATCATCCTCACAACAACCTTGTAAAGCTATGATTGTTGTTATTCTTACCTCTTTTGGGATAATAACTCGCCCAAGGGCTACACAGAGAATAAGCAGCAGGAGCAAGGATTCCATCCCACATCTCCTGGCTCCAAGAACTGTGCTGATGACCATACACCACAGGTGCCTCTCACACGCAAACACCTTTTGGGCCTCCATTACACTTTATGAAGCATGTTCACATTCAGAGGCCCCTCTGGGTCTCTTCCCATTTGGCTGAGGATTTTTCTGCCCAGTTTCCAGAGGAGGAAACAGGCTCAGAAAGGTGAAGAAACTCATCCAAAGTCCCACAGTATGTTTGGGGCTAGACTGGACACTAAGCCTTTCTGAATCCCAAGTACTAGTTCTTTGCGCTGCAGTCCATGACCTCTCTGCCACTGCTCTCATGATTTTGCAGACAGGAAAACTGAGGTTCAGAGAGGTAGCAACACTTGCCCCAGGTCACACAGCTGGTCAGTGGAACTTAAACGGAGGCCTGTCTGACTCCAGAGTCCGGGCAGTTTCCATTATACCTCTGTGAACGTTCTTTTATCCATCCCCCTCCCCAATATGGCATCTGAGAATCCAGGGCTCAGAGAAGTGAAGTCACTTTCTCAGCGTGTCAGAAGAGAGCTGTATTAGGTTGCCTGGAACGCAGGCCTATCTGTTAGAACATCCAGGCCCTTTCCTTTGTACTAACCTGCCTCTCTGTTATCAGTCATTCCATTTTATGGAGGGTCCACCTGAGGCTCAGGAAGGTGACATCGCTTTCTGGGGGCCACAAACCGAGAAGGTGGCCCAGCCAGGTCTAGAGCCCAGTAGTGTCGGACCACAAATCCCACCCGGTGAGGCCGAGACCCCGCCCGCTCCGGCCCGGGGATCTTACCTCGGCGTCGAACATCTGGTCCAGCGAGGGGCTGCTGCGCACCAGCCCGTCCACCAGCGCCAGCCACAGGCCCAGCGAGCCGTAATAGACCATCTGCATGAGGACGATCTGCGACACGATCAGCAACGGGTCCCACACGTAGCTGCGGAACTGGCCCGCCATGCCGGCCTGCGGGGCCCGGCCGCGGCCAGGGCCTGGATCAGCGCCGCCGCGCCATGGGCCCCAGGCCGCCCCGGTCCCTGCAAGACACACGTCTGCCTTCAGCCAGCGGGCCGTCACCATGGCAACGCCCCCCCCCGCCCGGGAGGAGGGACTGGGATGGAGGGGGCGAGCCCATTCCAGGAAGGGGGGGGGGCCGGGTGGACAGACCCATTCCCAAAGTCAGGGGAAATCCTGCTCATTCCGGCTGCTCGGTCCCCGCCCGTACTCAAGCTCCTTTGGGGTTCACTCACTGGTGACGGACTCGAGGATCGAAGCGTCCGAGGGCGGCCCACCCTCACCTGCTGGCCTCCGAAACACGGCTGACAGACACGACCATGGAGGAGAAGCCCTGCCGGCCTAGAGAGGCAAAGCGCCAGCGACGGCAGCTGCAGCGTAGGAGGGAAGCGTTTCCGGGGACGGCGGTGGAGGGGCGGGGCTGAGACTGCGCAGGCGTAGTGGGTGCAATCTTCGGCTCAGCCACCTGAGCGAGGGTACCGGCCGCCGGGAAGCGAAGTGTGCACATGCGCAAAATGAAAAATGAAGGCGAACGGAAGTGAGACGCGAGAGAGGTAGAGCTTGCGTGCCCTCTAGAGGGGAATCTTGAAGAAACGGAGGGCGGCTGGGGGAGGTGGAAGAGGGGTGACCAAGGGCGAGGAAAAATGCTTGGGAATTAAGGAGGTGATAAACGTTGACTTTATTTTCAGCTTAGGTTCCCAATGTTTTCTTTCTCTTAGTTAAAGTCTGGGGTAACTCGAAATGAACCTGCCAGCTCTTCCACACATGATTTTGCCACTGTTCCCATTTTACCGATGATTAAACTAAGGGCCAGAGGAGGAAAGCAACCTCTGTGTCTCAAAGACCTAGAGATAGTGGAGTCAGGATTCGAATTCAGGTGTTGCCAACACCACAGCATCGATTTCGTGCCTACTCGGTGCTAGGAAGCTTTGGACGTGTAGGAATGAGACAGTCCCTGCCCTCAGACACAATCTAACTATATTAGAAGGCACAGTAGTGATGTTTTATAATGTGAGTATCTATTTACATTTACATATCTCTATATATTTATAATGGAAAGAAAACAGGTTCTGAAGTCGTCCCTGGGAGCAGATCCAGATTCTTGCCTGCTGCGTTGACTGTGTTCTCTCAGCCTTCTCTGAATCCAAATACTGTGGACAGTCAGTAAATATTTGCTGAATGAGTCAAGAACAGAGAAAGGGCAACAGCAAAGTGATGAGTCACTTCATTCCAGCACCAGCAGACCAAAACTCCTCAACTTCATTGATCCTACGTTCCCCCTCTCCAGAGTGGAAAGAAAGGAAGTAACTGGTTCCACGAAAAGAACATGGGTTTTAGCTCTACTAGCTGTGTGACTAGCAAGCCACTTCCTTCCTTAAACCTCAGCTTCCCTGTTTAGGAAATGAGGAGTTAGACAAGATTAACGTTTTCCAACATTTAATCTATCCTCCACTAATTATTTTCCCATTAAAAAAACTTGTCAAAGACCCATGTAACTGCCAATCAGAACTGCTGAACAGCTTGTGGTAACCATATAATCACCTTGAGTTGATACAATTCCAGACAAAAGTAAAGAAACTTGAGACTTTATCAAGAGTAAGTAGGTGATTTTCCGTATCATCTGGAAATGCTGGTCACTTGGACTCCAGTTTGCAAGTCATTAAGGCCCAAAGATTTGTGAGGGGCTTCTAGCTCAATCGTTCTTTTAGGCGCCTCAATTCAGTTCAACAACTATGTATTCAAATCACCCTCATCCACTGATTACTCACATGATCTAGTGTTTCTGAGAAAACATCCTCTGTTTGTTAAATACCTTGTTTCATCCTCACTATGCAAAAGGTAGATATTATCCCCATTTTTGAAAGTGAAGAAACTGAGGCTCAGAGAGAAGCATGACCATCCCTAGATCAGAGGGCTCATAGGAAGCTGAGCTGGGATTCAAACCCAGGACATCTGACTCCACACACCGAGATACCATTACAGGAAAAAAAGAAAGAAAGGAGACAGTGAAATAAGCGGTGGAGTAGTGGGAAGTGGAAAAGGAGCAGTGAGTCCCGCTCACATAGCCCCGGGGTGAGGGATTAAGGAGAGGTGGGAGGAGAGGGTGAGGGGAAGTCCTTGAGTGGTTTGAGTTAGTTCCCGAAGGCAGCTTCCTCTTCATTGCGTGTGCTGGAATGTGTGGCTCTTCAGGAGTCAGGCATGGCCCCCCTCACCACCCCCCCCACCCCGCCCCTCGAAGTCACAGCTGGACACTCTCCACTCCATCTCCTCCCTCAGAGGGAAGGCCCTCCCTACCCATTCTCCTGAAATGGAAAATGCAGGTAGTCTGGGGCCTGAGGCGTTGGGGCCCAGCTGGATAGCTGGTGTCTGACGTCATCCCTGGGGCCTAGAGCTCACCTCTGGGAAATCCCCACCCACCTGCAGGAGAGCCCATGGCAGTTTCCTTTTCCCTGTAGGATTTCAGCTCTTGAATTCTCACCTTTTCAAGCTCCGGAAATGTGTCTTAATTTGGGTACACCAAGGAAACCAAGAGCTGGGGGAAACCACACTAACTCCCTTGGCCAGCCCTTCCTTGGCCCGTTTTCAGAATTTAACTACAGACAGCCTGAAAAAGAACAAAGCCTGGGCTAGGGCACCACTGACTGGCCATGTAACCTTGGGCAAGTCCCATGCTGGGTCTTAGTATCCCAAACTGTAAAATAAAAGACAGGCATTGGACTCCAACTTCCAGATGCAGTCCCTGGCCCTGTGCCATCTGAATCACCCGAGGAACACACTGTGGAGTCAGATTCCCAGGCCTTGTTGCAAACCAAAGTCTGAATCTCTAGAAGCAGAGTCCAGAAATCTGTGTATTTAAAGAGCTCCCGAAGTGATTCAGAGGTACAGCTACATTTGGTCATCACGAAGCAAGATGATCTGTAACTGACCTCAGAGCAACCCTTCCTTCTAGCGGCAAATCATTCTGTGACCTTGCCATGTCCATGGCTCTGTTCGGGCCTCCGGGTTTTTTTTCCATCTGTAATATGAGGGGGTTGGACTAGAATAGCTGATCTCCAAGGGCCTTTCCCACGCTGCCAAGTTTGTGGTTTCAAACTTATGAATGAAATTTTAAACTTTAGGTCAGAGGCAGAATGACAAAAAGCCACAAACTGGGACAAAGTGTCCTCTTGGTGCAGTGGAGGGAAATGACTCCGGCTACTTGGTCACTACGTCACTCCCACACTGGGCCCCCACTGTGGGCATGTGAGAACAGCTTCTGCTGGGGTCACTTTCCAGATCCACCCCCATAAAGCCCTTGGGAAGTGTCCTCATATAGGTCTATGGGTTTTGGAGCCCTGCTTGTATTGGAATCCTGGCTCCACTACTGTCTTTCTGGGTGACCTTGGGGAAGTTAACTTCATCTCTTGGAGTCTCAGTTTCCTCCTCTATAAAATGGGAATCAGAATAGTACCCATGTTGTGGGCTGTCTTGAGGATCAAATGTGTGCTTACCCCACTGCCTGATATACAGTCAGCGTTATGTAAACGTTAGCAATATTAATTATTGTTATTATTTCTTCCCTTGGAATGTGGGAGTCGTGACTCCTGATCTCTCAGATATATGGCAAAGATCTAAGTAGACAGACAGTAAGCCGGGTGCCTGGCATATAGTAGGAACTCAGTAAATGTGGTACCTTCTCTTCCTGATCCCACCCCACCCCTCAGGTTCTCCAACTCCCTCCCTTTCTCCCTTCTTCCTTCCCTAGGCTGCCCTCCAGCCTCTCACATGATCCCTTTCAGGGAACGTTTGATGGAAACACTTCAGGGGAGACGCGTGTCTCAGGGACAGGTTATGCAATCTTGCGCTCACACTTATTGGAAACTCCATGTGGGAAGCTAGCTTTTGACTGCCTGTCCTCTGCGTTGGTGATCAACCTGTGCTCTGGCCAGCGAGCTCCTCTCTTAGAAGAGAAATCGGAGAGAGAGAGCTCATCGCCTGCCTGTTCTCTCCTCCAAACTGAGAACCCTTTGTTACCCAGACTGTTTTAAGGGCTGTGTGTGTGTCTGTGTTTGGGGAGGAACATTTGCTGAGCACCTGCTATGTGCCAGTCACTTATATTATCTCACTTAATCCCTATTTAATTTCTAAAACAAGTCTGTGAATTGCACATACCGTTAATATTCCCACTTAACAGATAAGGAACGTGAGGCTCAGAGAAAGGACACCATTTACCCAAGACCACTCTGCCAATGAGTGGTAGAGCTGGACCTCCAACTCAGGTCAGTGTGACTCCACACACTACCTCTTCCCAAAGCACAACAGAAAGTGCACCGGACATTACAGTTTACATAGAGCTTTCACGTACATGATCTTACCATCCTAATAGCCCTGGGGAGGTAGGGATATACATTTTCCCCATTTTACAGATCAGGAAACTGAGGCTCAGAGAAGGAAGTGACGCACTCAGTACACAGCTGGGGTATGGTTGGTCTGGTCAGCTGCAATGCTCAAAGTTGAGGAACTGGAGCTTTTGTCTTTCCGCTCGAGCCTCCCTCTTCTTTATACTGGAGGGGTCAAGGGACTGGTTTCCTGTGCTCTGTGCTCCACGGTTACTGATTTTCTGCAAATTATGTCTCTATGGAGCGTGGACAATGCCAGGCATTCCACTGGGTGGCTGAGCCTCTGGAGGTTGTTGTTCCTCTTGAATAAAGAGCTCTTTTCCAGGTGTGGGTTGCCCAGGTCTAAGACACCCTAGAGAGAACGGAGAGAAGTGAGATTTTCTGAAACTGTTGCCCCACCCCTCAGGTGTTCTCCCCACCAGGTTCTACACTCTCTGCCTTTCCCTTGAAATTATTTTTTGCTCTGACCTTGAAGGATTCAGGGCTTTATTTTAAGAAGAAAAGTTACTTTCTTCACCTTCATTTCATCATCATTCATTCAATCAATCAATCATTTATTGATAAATATTCATCAAGCATTTACTGTGTGCCAGGAACTGGTCTGGGTGGTACAGATATAATGAATAAAGAGAAAAACTCTGACCTTGTTGAGTTTATATTCTCATGGAGGAGACAGACCATAACCAAGGCAACCGAAAATGTAAAATGTCATATGAAGTCATGAGAGGTGCTATGAAGACAGATGGAGGTGAAGGGGTAGAGAAGGGTAGAGGAGGAAGGGTGAGAGGAAGTACTTCAGAAACAGCCGCCCGCAAAGACCTCCCTGAAGAGGTGGCGTTCCAGCAGAGATCTGATTGAAGTGAAGGGGGGAACCAACTGGATATCAGGGAAGAACATTCCAGATAGAGGGAACTCAAGTGCAAAGCCCTGAGGCAGGAATGATATTGGCATGATTAGGGGATAGCAAGCAGGCCAGTGTGGTAGGAACTGAG